CCAGATCTGTCATGTTGTGCAGATGTGCCATCATTTTGAGAGTTGTTTAAACTGTTTGCACGTTGGATATCTGCCGTAACTACATTGGATGGTATGGTCTGCACAGCAGAAGAAAAAGAGAAAGTAGGAACCGAATTTGAACTCGTAACCGGTAAAGGATTGGCCATATTAAGCCGACTAGTCTGCATCCTGCAAAAGATATTGTAATTAGTTCCGCCAAAAATATATTTAAATTTTGTAACCAATGACTCAAGAACCAGGAATGAATATAATATTCATTGATCTGGAACTTTCATAATTCTTATTTCGAGAAACAAATGTTATCATTTAAATTAGAACCAATAAATGAGGAAGTAATCTGTTAAAAGCTGAAGTAGAAATACAAAGATAAGCTTTAGGTTTCCTATAATCTAAAAAAAAAATGATTTCATATTATAGACGAATAATACAATGATTCTCCCGATCGCCTGAGAAGCGAACTTGCATGAGTCCCTGGAGCGAAAGGAGTTCCAGATAAGCTGCTTCCTGCTTGTGAGTTCGTTAATTGAATATTCGAGACTCGGTGAATATCTGCAAAGCAATCAACAGTCCAAACATAACAATTTCATAAAATTTAACACATATAAAATGCACGTAAAACAAAACCATCGCTTTGTCGTGATTGAAATTGATTTATATGGCGAAAAGGCTTTTTAAAAAATCAACTGTTTTATTAGCAGATATATAGCAGTCAACCACAAACGTGTTTAAGTGCAACAAAAGTGTAAAGTTCAGCCGAACTGTGTACAGCATTCTCTAATTTTTGTCGAATTTTAAGCACAAACTATTTAAAAGCATGCAATAATGGCATTTCTAAAATGCTTATTTTTTTTCTTTTCTCTGTAAAGAAAACCCGCCGTTATATCCTTCGATCAAATTTGATGGTTGCTGAGTTGGCATGGAACCTGGCAAAAACATTCGCTGAGAAACATATGGGAGGATCTGTCCAGCAGAAATGGTATATGGAGAGACACATGGTCGTTCGGTCATATTCAGTCCAGCTGTAAATCGAATTTCGACTGTAGTGAGCCATAAAATAGCAAAGCATAAAATAAATAATCACTGATAAAACCCCAATTCAGAAATATGGCACCTTGCAAGGCAGGACTCTAGTCCATCAATTTTTTTCAAAACAGCATGTAAATTCCTTATAATTATCACATCTTAGAACAGTTAACCCATATTTCACAAACTGATGACATTGTCTTACATGCTGTGATTAGAGTATATGAAAAAAAAAAAAAAAAAAAAGGAAATTAACTTACAAACATATGGATGTGAATAACGTGATCCTGGCAACTGAACAGATCTTGGACGTTGAGTGTTATCAGTCAGCAAAGAACCGAGAAACTGAGACTGCGGAATTCCTTGTCTTCGAGCATTTTGCATTTGTCTTGCTGCTAACTACAAATAAAAGTTGTGAGTGCATCTGTAATAAATTACAGATGCACTCACAACTACTGTTCATTAAAAACTTACAGAAGTATAAAATGCAAACCCAACATTAGTGATATTTAAAACTTCATATAGTCTTGTATTTTCTGAATGTTGAAAATTGCTTCTATATAGAGAACAAAAACCAACTTCTTGGACATGAAATTGCTGCTGCTGTAAAAGCCGGGAATGCTCTTGTGCCACTGGTGGTCGTAAGGTAATATATGAGGTATTTGGCCCAACTGATCCAGTAGAGCACGAGCCCTGTGTACAAATATTTGCTGATGAACAAGATCCTCTTGGTCTATTCATCGCGGTGTTGAACAATGGAACATCTATGGGATTTGAAGACAATGGTGTTGGTGTAACTTCCACCTAAAGAATTCCCAAAGATAGTGCAAAAAGAAATATATAATCATAACTTCCTCACTCATGCTGAAAAAATATTCAAGGTAACAACTTCGGTCATTCTATCCCAAAGTTTTACTTTTTATAGAAAGGACGCTAAACACTACTGACAGTTTTTAATGTCCCCAAATCATCAACTTCAGCAAAAATTCGCCCCCATTGGCTGATATTTGCTAGCATATGTTCCGTATCGGGTTTAAACTGCACCGTCGCTGGACGCTGAAGGCCATTCAAACTTCTCTGAAACAACTTTGAGAATATGTAGAATAAATTCATCAGCAATCTACGTAAAATTTTTCTGAAAAATATAAAAGATGCTGAAAAACACCTTAAACACAACAAACCTCACTGCTAACTTTTTTTGCTTTAATAATTGTGATACAGTTCTCCAAAAACTGTCGCATGACCACAAGCGTACTGAGATCGTCAAAATCTTTGATGTGTAACGCATATGAGTTAATCTACAACCTAGATTTTTGAAAACATATCATTTCTTAAGTTTGTTACAAACTCTAAAGTTGCTGAGGACAGAACTGAGGTTTAGAATAATTCTCTAAACAGAAAAACGAGAAATTCCAGTACAATTCATTAAAATAAATGACACTTACTCTACTAAATCGTCGCTTTTGCCAGAGTAGTTCATGACGAAGTTTGTCATACTCCTGTCCTTTATAAAACTGAACGGCATCCAATGCTCGCAATAAATCATTCCCCCTCCTCATCACCTGCAAAAAATAAAATAAAAATTTGCATAGTAGTAGCAGTAATAATAGTAATAGTAATAATACAGTAATAATAACAATAACAACAACAATAACAATAACGATAACAAAATAATAATAATAGTGAATAACAGTAACAAATAACAAATAATAATTAATAATAATAATAGTGACAATAACGATAATAATGAAAATAATAATAACAATAATAATAATAACTACAATGATACTTCTGAGCATTTATGTCGGAAGGGTAATTTATTTATTTTGAAATTTTACTTAATTGTCTACTAGTATTTATCCCTATCTCTGCCTCAAATGTAAACCCTAAATCGATTAAATCGATTTTTAAATGAACGACTTTTCAACATGAACTGCCAATACTCTGAAAACAGACGATGAAAATTTACTTGGAGCGTACAATAATAAGCGACAGCCTTTATTCTTCGCAGAAGGAAGAGATTTTATGAGTGCAAAACTGAAGTAAAAGAAAATATGGTTAACTCTACAACCAAAATTGACTTTATATAATGTTCGTTTAATGCAAAAATTACCGCTTGACAAATATGTACAACTTGATTTCCAACTTCCTTCTTTAAACTAGCAACACGTTCACTTAAAGCATTCTTACGCACTTGTATCATTGATAAACTGAAAACTTGCTTGCATTATTAAAATATTGGTTTTTGAAGCGCTCAAAACATGACATCTAGCCAAATCTGCCTTGGTCTATATTTACAGATCAAGAACAAGATACTAAAAACAAAACATAACAACTGTTAAAACCATAAAAATTGACAAGTAGACGAATTCCAGGAAGTCCATTAACTGTAATATTTAGAAAGCAAAATATTCATACCTGCAGTCGATGTGTGTTGTTTCTCGTGCTGTTGAAGACATAATTTTACTTTCATCGACTTGAGAGTTTGGTAGATGAGATAAGGGTGTTATCATATGTGAAGGACCCTCATGAAGTCTACTAGCAATACATGTCATACACACATACTGCAAAGTACAATCTGATGAGGACTGTAAATACGAAGAAAACAGATGAAAACTTATAAGCAGTAAAATAATTTCTCAAAAAACTGTAATACCACATAACTGCGGAAAAAGTAAAACCACCACACAGCAAGCACTTACCGATCCACACTGACATAACGATACAATTTTCATATTGCTGTGGAGAGGACAACGGACACACTTCGGAATCACGGGACATAACTGAAACTGGTAAACATAAAGACTTAAAAAGAACTTCTTCAACATATCACCTTTGCCCAAAATAATTAAAAGTTGTGTTTTCAATTTAAAAAAAAAGATCTTTTGAAAAAGGCATAAAAATTAATATTTAGACGCGTGTCCCAAAGTAAGAGCAGTGATTATTTAAGACTGCAGTTTCCTACAATGCACTGAATTTAAAAGAAATATTAACTAACAGTTTGTAAAAAATGAGAAGATGTTGCGGTGACCCGCTGATGTGCTAAACTGCAGTCAGCACATAAAGCCTCATTGCAAATAATACATTTTGTTGTGGCCTGATGCCTATCTGGACAAACTGCAGATTCACACCTTCTGAAATACAAATCAAATAATCAACCAAAAGTTATTTGTGAACTTCAGTTTTTAGGAACTAATAAAAAATCGTTCATAAATTCATTCAACAAACAAATCAATACACACAATAAATATATTGCCTTCGTCCAAAAATCAAGGCAACAAACCTTACGGTACATTCGCTTGTATTTGGAAGATTAAGTACATGAGATCGAAGACATTCCGTACGGCAAACTTCGCAGATCAGAGTCTGGTGATTCACTGATGCTGTAATGAAATGAACATTTTCTTGGCTTTTATGTTTTCAGAATAAAAAGATTAAAAAGTGCAGTGAGCTGTACATAAAAAATCAGACCTTGTTCACACTTAGTTTTACAGGACGGACAAAATGCATGAAGACACGGGAGTAGCGCTGTCACAGGAATTAAATCAGCAGGCGGTGAGAAACCACACAGTTTGGCTCGACACAAATCACACCGGTTAAAGTCTTCTCCCATCTGCAAAGCAGTTGATCAAATATATTCATGTAATTACAACAGACCTAAGCATATTTATACAGTGGACTAACAATGCTGAAATCACGTCAATAAGCCATTCTATAATGAAGAAGCACTGATTAATCATAGAACCAATCCAAAAAGTGCATAGTCTGGATGAGAGTGCGTAAACCATAACTGCAGGGACCAGATTCGACAAGAGACCGTTATAAGAAGCGTTTTATAGACATTGGTAGATGAAACTTCAAGATACATAAAAAGGTCAACACTAACCCACATCAACTTATCCTGTTATGATGATTATCTACATTCATCTACCCACGTGTGTTAAAGGCAAATGCACATGTTTGCATACGTCGATGAACAGACAATGTGCGTACGAATATCCCTTCAACGAACACAATATAAGAGGGACGTCGTGCACAAGCACACCATACGGCTCTTAGATATGCATATCACTGCTCTACTAATGGTGTGTTTCTATGCCTTTCTCTTCCAAAGGAGATGGTTCGATCGGCTTGCGAGCCAGCTCGAGCCGGATCGTTCCGGTTTACCATGCGGGTCCTTTCCTGTCTGCCCTGCTGGGAAGACAAGAGCAATGATAGACAGCGTTGTATGTGGAAACTACTGACAAGAATCGATAATGGGCAGAGTACAAGCAATAAGAGACATAAAAAAGACAAAAAGGTTGCAACGAGATGTCACATGACGATCTATGAGACGAACTGTGGAATGGATGAAGACCGACGTGGATAACGGAAATAGCCGAATGAAGGCAGGGAAAGAAATGTGAAGAATGGAAGTAGTGATTGAAGTGGTTAAGGTTATTTGAAATGAAGAGATGATGGGCAACGTCTCTTACTCTGTTGATGCATTTGATGACATTGTCGCATTGTCTTATGTCTCCCTTCCAGTATTTCATCGAAATTGGCCAACGAAACCCACTTGAAAGTATTGCATGTTGCGGTCGTGGCTGCTGTTCTGCATTACTACTTTTTTGAAATTGTAGTTATGTACACATCGCAGATAAATATTCTAATTAATGTAAATATCACGTATCACTTGGAAAAAATACTTGGTTAGTTAAATAATGTGGCGAAGTAAGAAAGGTTGAGCATGCGTGACGAGTAAGTAACACTTTGGGATATAGTGTCAAGCAAGATGAAGGAAACAAGTGCTGCATTCAAATTGTACACGTTTGGGTTAATAACTGGAATAGAGGTGGGAATACCAGATATGGTAGACATCGTTAATATGACTACTGCTGATATGTAATAATAAGTAAATACGGTTACAGAAAATATAAGATGATTTGAGTACCATTTTTTAAAAGAAGCATAAGACGCAAATTTTGTGTGGTGGCATTTCGGACCTGGATTTCATTTTATGAATGGAACATGGAACCCGAGAGAGAGACTAGTGCTAAACTTCATATCATATTTTGAAATGGTGCACCTATTCATATCGTAAATTGAAGGAAGGGAATCCTGTAGTATGGAGTCATTCACTCATCGGTAATTAATTGGAACATAAGAACACAGGCTTTAAATTCTAATTATTCGCTCTTTTAAATGAAATCAATTGCGTTTTCTGCGAGCTGATCTTTCATCTCTTGGGATTTAAAGTAAGAGTTTCCATCGGTAATTGTAAGTCGAATACATTAAATCAAAAACACATATGAACATTCATGGTGATCAAGAAATTATTTTTAAAATCCCCATCGATCTTGAAATTTGCATTCTTTTAAATATTACTTTTAACAAAATTCAGACTGGAAAACGGTTGTGAATGCGAATTTAATCATTTAACACTTAGTCCTGCTATAAATGAGGACGATTGCTTATTAATAACTCTTCATCAGATACTTCAACTTATAGTTTTGAATAATTCTCAAATTTTTTCTTAAAAGCACATCCAGTTTCTTAGCCACTCCCAAAACTCCAAGACTGAATTTATATAACTGACTTTAACACTATCACAATTTCTAGCCATTTATTTGCAAATTATAATTCCGTACTTGACCCAATATAACTGAAATTGGAGTCTTTCACTTCATATTAAAATTTGAAGGATAAAAATTTGAAATCGACTTTACCGCATTTTAGCAAGCCTAACAAAATCACACTGTTCAGGTTTGTGCCCTTCTCGAAATTTTCAACAGGAATTTAGTTTGAGAAGTCATAATGGAATGAATATTGCGCTGTAAATTCCAACTAGTTAATTTATAAACCAGTTAAGGTTTTAATCCAAAACTTTATTCTCGAACCAATATTATAAACACCATAACACCACAACTCTCCCGTCAAGATGTTCACAATCTTTTATTGACATAATTCTTCCTAATACTATCGTAAGCACAAAATATTCATTCCTGCTCCACTAAATCATTAATATGCAAGAAAAAATTTAACCTAACTTTCAGACTTTTAGCGCGCATTCACATACAATCACTGTTGCCACGAACCGTTTTACTCCTGATACTAAACTTATCATGTCAATGGAGAAAAATTACCACTGACAACAAAGATACTTACCAGGAGCTTTTATGACTCAAAAATATCTTAAGTATTAAGGTCAGAAAATAAAGAACAATTCAAGTTCCACGATGATATATTACAACACTCTCTTCATGAATAAATCAGGTTCTTCACAGGAAATTCAAAATGTGCAAATATTACGAAATGGAATAAGAACAAGCATAGCAACTAGTAGTGATACATTACAGGATGTAAAGTTATTATTTCGGGAGGACAATGCAGCCGTTATAATTTTAATGTTTTGGCAATTGCACTAGTCAATGTGGATGCAAGTCAGAACCAATAATAATAACTGGAAATGAGAAAAAAAATGATCGTAACAAATGAAATTAATTTCTTGGAAATATGGTATTAATAATGCAATGACTATTAGTTTCAAAAACTCTGAGTGGATGTAAATACAGTCCGGTCGTCATACATCCAGGCACATGCAGATGCACATACGGATACATTAGCGATGATACAGTACACGTCCAAAAATTATTCCTGGAAGAATTTGTGGACGAAACAAATTATGGAAGTAATAATATTACTTTAAAGCATACTGCGAGTAATTTCAAAAAAAAAAAAAAAAAAGTAAAAAACTGACATAAGAAAAAAAACCCAACACCAATCAAAATAAAATTGAAGAAAAAATATAAGTATAACAAAATTATTGACTTATCTTTTTAAATAAACCTGAACATTTGCAAGTTGAAATAAAATAGTGCTTAAAACAATAGACAGCAACTGAAGAAATAAAAATTTATCGTACTGAAAAAGCAGAAATAATTTCCCAGAAAAAATAAGCATTTCAGAAGCCTGTGAAAGAAAAAAGTAGGTGAACCTGACCAATTTTTTGCTAGAACAAGAACAGCTAAGTAATTACCATTATTTTGAGCAACAAATAAACTACATATTTTTTGACGAGAATACATATTCAACCTAGTGCAATGACTACAGCATGATTCAAGGAAATGTTACAAGGCTAATGTAATGGAAGCACTGCCAATGAATTATGAACCCGTATGTTCTTGGAACTTGCTTATATCTCCTGAAATTTTCTGGATATGCATTAATGTATAATGATATCATCTCTACTCCTTGTACACAAATTTAGATTCATAAAAATTATTATATCATTTTACAGTACTTAGATTTTGTAAGAAGTCTTACCAGTTTCGACGAATATCCACTCTACATTTCCATTTAGGAAGTCCCAAGAAAAGATGATATATTCTACAAAAGGCACAACTTCCACCTGTCATAATTAAAGAGCAAGAAAATAAATAAAAAATAAAATTATTAAAATTAGTGATCTCAACACTTCGCAAACAATGTAATAGAAAAAAAAAAAGTAATACTTAATATCAGAAAAAAAAATTAATACGACATTTGTTCTTTCATATCTACCGCAGCAGTAACACTTTCAGAGTATATTTGCATTGGTGCAGTCACCTGAGATGTAAACCATCCCTGACCCGTTTCGTAACGACGTCGTGAGGGAAGTTCGGCAAATAAACGCTCCGGATTGTCAATTGCCTGAATTGAACGAGCCTGGGCACGCATCTGGCTAAAGGGATCCTTTGGAGGGCGCTGAGGCAAAATCTAGAAAAATAGATCATACTATACCATCCTACAAAAATTAGACACAGTATTATTTAGAATATCAAAACGTCACATAGTATTATTTAGAAATAACTGAGCATTGTATTATGGAACAATTTTTAGAAGAAAATTTCCTGAATTCCCTCTCAGTGCTAATTGTCTGATAAGGGTATATTATCAGTCAGCAAATACCAGAACTAAAATCCAGATTCAGTTAACATCAACTTAACAACAGTTTTTAACTTGAAGTTGAGTTAAAATTTTTTAATAATGGAACAATTCAATAAAAAACGGAACCATCATGTATAATTTTTAGTCGAGTATCTTTGGAAGAATTTATGCGAAAGTGTCGAAAACTTACAGTTTTGTCAATCACTTCACAGTTCTCATCAAAATCAAGCATCTCGTTGCCTTCATTTCTATCAACAACATTGCGCGGTGGCCAAAAACGACCGGAAGGAATCGTTATTGGAAGCGAGCAGCCATATGCCAAAGATTCCGTTTTTCTGATAGCTTCCGCTTCTACATCTTCTTCCATTTCTACTGAGTTCGTATGCAAATCTACAAATCAGGCAAGATCTATGGTTAATCTGGAAAACAACTGAGCATAACAAAAATATCATTTCTTTAATCTGAAGTTGAAACGTAAATTTGTTCAGATTCCCCCAGATTCGAAATGAACCTGGAACTGAAGACTTGGAAGCAGTAGAAGTAACGATCGGTAATAAACCAAAAGCACAGGAACATGAACGGAACTGAATGGCATTAAATTCCAAAACTATATTAGAAAATAGGTCGACCAAACCTTTCTCCTCGACCCATGGATTTTCAGGATGTCCTGTTTTTATACCAGCACTGCCTCCACTAAAAGTCAAATGCGCCTGAGACATATCAAAATTACCAGAATCTGTAAATTAAAAGTATTCAAAAATAAATGTTATAACTATACATGAAAATCCCATTGACTACCATGTATCATGAAAATCTTAGCTTTATAAGTATGACTTTTACAGTGAATGTTCTTTTAGAGTATTCTCTTTATCGCTAATAAGAAAATTTTTTGGTGCACATAGTAGCTACTGAAAGATGAAAACCCAAAATTTAAAAGCTGTGTCATTTCTTTAAACTACAGTCAAGACAACTGAAAGAAAATTTACATCTGAAAACTTACACTTTTGCATGTTAAATTTGAAAATATATATAAAGGAACAAACGAACCGTCGGATTGAATATCGCAAAACAGATCTAAAGCTGAAGAACCCTCATTTAAACTATCCGCTTCTTTTTCTGGCAACATATCTTCATCGAAAGAGAACAAGCCTTCTCCGGCCACTACAAATCATTGCAAATTTTCACAGCTAATACATTCACCAAACTAATATATAATAATTTTCCTAACAACACAGTTCATTTGTGTCAGTTACGGAAAGCTTTCCAAAGACAAGAAAATAGCGAAACATAACTGTAAGTTGTCAAGGCTAAGTTGAAGAGGCGAGAGCGAAATAGAAAATTTTGTACATTTTAAATTTATAACTAATCTTGTAGAAAAACTTGGAGTCTATGGTAAAGAAAAAAGAAACTAAAAAGTCGCGAATCATACTCTCTTCCCGTTCTTCGTTATATCTATTCATTTCCTTTCCGTTAACCTTATAACGAGATCTGATAAGCCAAGAGACCGTATGTCGCGCACAAATCCGGTGTCTGCTTGAATTACCTGAATAAAAAAAATATAATTACCTCTTTAAAGGAATAAACCAGAAGTGTTCTAAAGAACTCACTGATAAGCAAAATTTGAATATGAAAATGAGTTTGCCAAATAAGTAGAAAAATAAATAAACGATATAAGAGACATCAATGTAACTATTCCTTGCAGTTTTTTTTTTTTTTTTTTGAATTAGAAAACTAGAATAAATATAAAAGGCAATAAATTACAAACCACGTCGGAAGTGGCCATTTTTGAGCAGTCCTTAGCAAGCGGCTTCAATTTTACGGTCTCCTGGCAATGAAATTTTGAAAATATTTCTATTAATGCTGTGCTTTCGGCTAAACTTTCCTGTGGAAAATCTACATTTTAATATCTCTCTTTGATTCGATAATGAGTTGATTGAGTTGATCAACGTATTTTACTAACGTTTGAAAATGCTAGATAACAAAAAAGTGATAATTTCTATCCTAATGACATATTGCTCCTAATAAAATGCTTTTAAGCATATTCAAAAAATAATTCGACGAATACTCTTTGTAAGGATTTTGTTCTCCTATTTTAGACTTTTTATTTTATCTCCCATAAGAATTACTGTTCGAAATTTTTAATGAAATTTTCTATATCCGGTACGATAATTACAACAAATGGGTACACCTAATACATAGAACAAGAGGGATACTATGTTTCTCAAAGCTAGAGACAAGCTGAGAATTATACTTCTTTGTCTCCTCAATTAAGGTTAGTTGCGCAGACTAATGACAGCCGACCAGTGAGAACATAAACAAAGTGGCTTATTGGACAAAATTATCAAAAGATTCGCGTGTAATTATGTCCAAGAAGGAGGAGCTGTGTCAAATAAACAGCTGTCGGTCATACCCAAATATCATGTCAATTCCAGATGTGAAACAAAATTAAGAGATTCTCGTTAAATCTTTCACTGATTCTCACAATCATTCCTAGTATTAGTAAAAAATTGTAACACATTTTATGGTCTCTCTCATAAAAATTGCTTGCGAAATTTGATTAAACTGCTTGTATAATAAAATTCTCTCAATTCTTTTGAGATATATATATATAAGTGACTGCAAGAAGGTTAACCTGATAAAGCCGTTCGCCCTATTCCATATGAAATAATGACATTAGTAACTGAAATTCCCAACTGTTCTAGCAAAATTACATTTTTGTACACAACAAAGACAGATTCTACGAGAAAAACATGTCACATAAAAAAATCAAAAAATCTATTTTTTTGTGGATCAAATATTCTTTACAAATATTCTTTCTGACCTTAGCCTGTTTAACAAAAATTTTTGTTGAAAAAGCACTGTTATTAAATAGTAATTTGAAAACTACAAGTGGAGCCAAATAAATAAAGTTGGAAGAAATACTGACAAAGCTTTCATTTTTATAGCATAACATCACTGATTATAAATAATGAATAACACCTGCCACTAAATGAATTATGTCGAAACATTTGATTACTTAGTTAAAAGTTCAGTCTTTGAACAACAATGTACATATATTGGAGAATCCTCGAAAAAAAAAAAGTTACTGATCCCAGATATCCGAAAAATATGTTCATCGAAGTTGGTTTTCCGGAATAAGCATTCAGCTTAGGGTTTATGAAACGTCTCAATCCAAGGTGTACAGCGGATCTTATGGCTTATTCAGAATATCTTCATTCAGGAAAGTTCGCAATCTTCAGTTTCAATACCATGTAGTTCCCTGAATGCAAAGAGGAATTTGCAACTGGTAACTTTTTTAAAACATTACGTGCTTCTTTGATTTGTTTATTTCTCTCATATCGAATGTATATCGGCCGTCGTTCTATGAATTTTTAACATTTAAGTGGCATATCCGGTAATCAAAAAATTCAGAGTGCAGCAAACAGCACGACAGCAAGAAAGTACCACATTTATGATTTGCTTCCTTCATTTGCACTTGCTCTCTAATTGCTATCACTTAACAAGCTCTGCGGTAATCAGTGACTGCAGTGAAGAGTTCAAGAATGGCAACAGACATGAGGATGAAGAAGGCTTATGACATGTTAAATCTCCAAGATACTGAGCAAACTCTTGCACACATACATATCACATATGATGCAAGGTTTATAAATATGCTCAAATTTTGACGAAAGCTACTTTGGTATCCAAATCCCAGATCAAGCATCTTTCATCAAATGCTTCATGAATTAGCCAGACTTCTTTTTGCTCATGTTCACATAATAATCCAATCAATTTTATATCTGAAATATGAACAAACATCCATGGTCTTTAAATCCTTGATTAATTCAAAACTCTCCTTCCTCATAGCCTTTGTGGACATTTTGAAACGAAAGCGGTAAACAACAAATCAAACTGCACAGAGAAAACACAACACGCACACACGCATGCTTGATACGCAGAGAAACATGTGTTTTACATGAAAACCAACACTTTTACGGAAAATTACAAAGCATCTAATGTCGGACGCCATTTCTTATATTTAACCCATCTATTTTTACGTACGCCAGTTCTGATCATCAAAGTTCAAATTTCAACTTTCCTCTTCTCAATGAATCCAGCATTCCCTATTCTAGAATCATTACTGCCGACCCTTGACTATCATACCTTGAGCTTCTTGTCATCAAATCATTTGAATTTAAGGAATAATTCTAAAATAATATATGCGAGTAAGACAGTAATACACCACTTTCCTCTAATTCAACATACCAATCCCTTAAATTATTCACCCATTTTTCCTCTCCGCCTTTCACTTTATCTTTTCTTTTCCATCTCTTGCCTGCCGACTACGTTGAAAACGCGTGTCATTATTACCCAAGCAAATGACAATTTATGACTTTACTGTCGGTAAAAACCAGGCTATCTTTAATCTCTCGATAAACTGTAAAATATTTAAATAATTACAAAGTAATAACAAAAAATGAACAAGTTGTAAAAGCATATATAAAATTAGGTGCGAACGAATTTAATAAAAAGATTTGCTTGTGTTTATAGCGAGAGATAAAAAGCATCAAAGATCAATAAAGGATTTTGTTTTAAGTTCGGAGAGGTACTATATAAGGCAGCATCATTTTTAATCATTCTTTTCAAACTAAAATTGGTGTTTCGTTCTAAATCAGTGATAAACAGGCTTTATAAATACGTTGAGAGGTGGAAGCTTCATCAAAAAGACGCGATGAAAGAACGAATACTTACTAGAATCCGTGATTATAAGTGATATCCAACTTCATCTTGAAAATATCGCCGGCTTCAAAGTTCATTTTTACACAAAAGAGGTGTTATAAATATAGCAGCTGACGTATGAGTTTTACCTGTAAATAATATAAAAATAATCAATTATTCCGTGCCTTAATCGCAAACTTCATCAGTTAATTGAAATTTCCCTTTTTCTCATTTTTATTGGCTATGTCATGGAAAGCATGGTACAGAAAGTTGACAATATGCTGAAAAAGTATTGTTCTTATGCGATCATAGTATGGAACGCTGTTAAACAGAGCAAATGATTCCTGACGCTAGAGACGATGGCTCGTTCTTATAAATGTAATCTTTGCTTTCTCCGGAAATAAAATTTAAAACTACATTAGACAAAATACATGACGTGAATATATTTTTGCTAAAAAAAAATTTCCCACAAATTTCTGAGGTGCACTCTTCGTTAATAAATAGCGCACTAATCAAAATCTAATAGCAAAACATCGATTGCTTAAGTAAAAGGTGCCTGCCAATGTACAACAATGGATCTGGTCCTGTCAAGAGCAGTCACTGTTACAAGTCCAATTTCCGATGTGGCAGCTGAGCTGCAACAAATCAACCACCTATTACAATTGCATACGATTTTTTTTTTTTTTGTTCCAGTTCAATCAACAACTGCTTTCTTTTTGGATGTAAAATCCATATTACTCAAGCTGAATCTATTTAACACCAATCAAAACTGTACGTAAAACAAAACAGAAGCGAAATGTTAACCATCTAAAACCAAATCATTCAGTAGATTACATGGAACAATTTAATTGCCAGCAAAGTAAGGCTTTCTGGAAGCCATTAACTGGGCAAAGAGCTATTGTACTACTTTCGTACCAACATTATTCCATGCAGTCCGTCCAAAATAATAAGCATGAAATAATATGATATATAATAAAATTGTCTTATTGTTAATCGAAATGCTCTCTTTCAAAATAACATTAAAAAAGGTGAGAATGTTCGTCAAAAACGGGTTTAGAATTAACTACTGAAGTCTCATGTTCTCTCATGTACTTGAAACGCTTAAACGTTAGATGTCCGTTCCAACTGAAGGACTTTTGTACAGTGTGAAGCTATATCCGTCTTTTTCTTCCTATTAAGCACGACGAAACTTTTTTTTTTCTCATACACCTAAAAGTAATTGTGAATAAAATATTTAACAGAAATAATAGCCCAGAATGCACACGTCACCAACGACTAACTATCTGAACGAACAATAATAAATAGTATATTCACAACATCGAAGTCATCCCGATAATGCCCAGATGATCAAAAGTAATGAATGCAGAAACATAAGATAAATGCAGTTTTGAAATTTATGGACATATTGTAGGTAATTTGTGCTGCCAG